AGTTGTCTTGAATATACTTGTATGTTCTGTTGTCTCAATTATTTTGTAACTTTCGCGATTGTATTATATTGTTATTATCTATTGAGTATGTGTTGTGTATTACTGTATTGTTTGAATTTGGTATGTAACTGCGTTATTTGTGTTTGTAATAGGACAATCCTGTACGCAAATTACTAATAATATTTAATTTATTTGAATTTTTTATTACTGTTTTATATTTTTCACTAGTTATAATTAATATTCTAGTAATACAAATCTTTTAAAATATAATAAAATACACATCTTTAAAAATCTTTACAACTAGAAACAACAACTCTTAAACACTTAAAAACTGCTTTACATGTTTCCGAACTAAATATATGTTTGTTAATTTTTACTTGGACACCCATTATATTTTACTATCATTTCGGTCGCTCTTTGAGATTTGGCCAGTATGCAGCTGCCTACTTTGCCTAGCGAGAAGCCCGCTCTTGCATAAATAGATCTCATTTCAACGGAAGAAAAAGAAAACCAAGTAGTACCAAAGAAGTATCCATGCCGTTGAAATATATTTTCAGGAATTAATTATTTTTAGGACACTTTTCAACTACTAAGGTCACATAGTGATCACTGTAAATAACATTGGGATAATGGTATATCGACACACACAAGCATCCATGCCTAAGGCGGGATTCGAAGCGACGACCCTCCAGGCACGAGGCAGCTACGGTTTTCTTAGCGACCTCGGATATCCCGGCTGGTCCTCGGCTGACCAGTAGTGGCAAACATACAAATTACACATGTGCAGGCGAAGTGTCACAAAACGCGGTTAATATAGGGAAGGGAGAGTTGCCAGTGGCTAGAAAGGCCAGCACTTCGAAGAGGCGAGAAAATCTCCGCCTGCAACTCCCTCCGGTCGACTGGTCGAACAGGGAGCGTAGCGCGAGCGGACGTCCAATAACTAGTGCTGAGGTATTTCCATCACCCCGCGGAAGCGCCCCACTCGAGGAAGTGACTCGAGAAACGCGCGACGAAACTGCACGTTACTCGAAGCCAGTTCGCTTCATTTTTACCCTCCTTTTCGTATTCTTTTTTGCTCCTTTTTATTACAGCTTAGCCTCGTAGTATCTAGCGGCTGGAATTGCTTGTTGATTGGCTGAAGGGTACACCTCCCTACGTGCTCCTAACAACCACAAGGAGAATAACGTCGAGCAATTAGGCTCCGGCTGACGGATTTCCCCATGAAAGCAGCCGGAGAGAGTGAAACGCGAAGGTCGCTCAACCCATATTCGATCTAGTGATCTTACGCCTCTCCCCACCCAGTGAACACTCCTTAATAAGAGAGTGATTGATTGAGGTTTCATAGCCCTTATTGGCTGGAAAATTGGTTTGGTTATTGGCAAATTAATGTATAATCTTAATATACATTTGACAAAAACAAAAGTTGCAGATGCAAATGTTAAGAGCCGATTAAAAGAGAACTAAATTAATCTACACACTCTATTTATTTATTTTAGGTCGTTTTTCAACAACGTGGTCATTAGTAACTTCACATACATTTAACAAAAATGAATACTCTACACCAGTTAGTATTTATGATTTATTAGAAACTCTCAGCATTTAATAGATATTCAAAAAATTGCTAGAAATTTATAAATACATTACCTATTATTTTCTCGTTTGGAAAAATTACTTCCACGGTGGCCGTCCAACAACTATTTACTCTTGAAATGACGTAAGCCTCCAATGAGATGTATAAAGGAAAGCTAGAATAAAATGCAAACGCTTGCCAGTTGCATAAAAATACCATCCCTGCACCCGGAGAAAACCAATCAGAGGGACAATTAACGATGACCCAAAGAACAAATTGAAGGAACACTTTATAAATTTGAAAAGCAATGTTACATATATTTGACAACACATTGCAATTATTTTCTGCAAGTTTGTGCTGAAATATTTCAGTAATAGTAAGAACATATACATTTTAAATATTTTCTGTTCTTACGATCCTTTCCGCGAAGACACTACAAGGCAAACAGGAATAAGCGAAAGAGGGTTAAGCGAAAGAGAGGTAAGCGAAAGACGGGTAAGCGAAATAGGGGCCTGTGAGACAGGAGAAAGGGAAACGGGAAACTAGCCAGCAAAATGGGAACCAGCGAAACGATAATCGGTGAAACGAAAGTCAACGCGACATGGGAGTCACCGCGACAGTGGAAACAAGTAGGGGAGCAATTGGGAACAAGAGGAAGAGGGACACTAAGAGTAGATAGTAAAATAGAAACAGGCAAATGATAAGAAAAAGCAAACAAACTAAGAAGTGATAAACTAACATAGTAAACTATGTCGTTAACAGTTTAATCTGTTGCTGCCACATAATTAAAATATCTGATTGCTACTTAGTATATACCATTAAGAGAGAAGCACTATCGAAGAAATAACTGTATAAGAACGTTTCTCTTAAGATGATGTTTATGTGTTTGGCTAGAGGCAGACTTAATTCGAAATAAGTAAAACTAATAACATTACCAAGAGCGTACTAGTCGAGAAGAGAATACTAGGCGTTTCAACCGCCGTATGCAAGAGGGTAAACTACTTAAAATGTACAGAATTTAACAACTTCCCTTAGTTACGATATTCCATCTCTAATGGCTAAGAAGATATTTCCATACAACGACAAAATTTGACTCTTGCGGCTAGAGGTGCCTCATAAGCAATAAAGTAGTATTATATTCTTCGTGTGCAAACACTTGCGCATAATCGATTTCGGAACAGAGTTCCGTTACCACGCGTTAAGCAAGCACAGTCCTACTCGCTGAAAAGCCGCGCGGCTGCAACCAAAGAGAAAATTAGCAGGAAAGCGCCTCGCCGCATCTCCCCGAGTGTAAGACCGCTCTCGCCTCCCCGTGCAATTGCCACTTTGGTAACAGCGCTCCCATTCTTCCTCGTAATTGGCTCATCGCCGACGAGACGCCGCTAGTTTTCTGCTCCGCGGCGCCGCCATTCTTCCAGCTCTGCTTTTACTGGTGGGAAATTGTGAGTTTTCTTTTTTTTTTTCTCTTCGATTGGCGACGCGTACGGCAACAGGCGCGGATCCTGCGTCGGCGCCGGAAGAAGGGGAGGGGACGGGTTGACCATTATTGCGTGAATCCTACGTTATTTTGTTTCAACTAGTATGGTCATCAGTTCGGTAACTGTAGTGCATGTTTTTATCACGGGAAGTGGAATTATTGTTTGTTTTATTGATTCCGGGCACGTCAACTACGAGTCATTAGTCCCGTAAGAGTTGTGCATGTTTTTGCTCTGGAGGTGGCGGTGATCTTTCCCTCGCTGTGTGGCGTGATTCGGCGCCGAACTACCGTCGTCTAGCGGGGCTTTCTCCAAATAAGTACCTCCTACCAGCGGAGCACCGCCCCAGCCGGAACAAGCTCTGAGATCTCGACCGGTCTCCCGGCATGTGCGCTTGTGTAGTGACTGTTAGTGTGTGTAAGGGGAGAGCATAAGACAAATAAGAGGTAGGAAAGATGGCGCGCGTTCCGTGGCCCGTTTGTTAGGATACTGCTCCAGCATTCGTCTGGTGTTGATTGGGGAAACCGCGAAAAACAACCGATCAGAGCATCTGAGCGCTAGAATTCACCTCCAGAGAGCGACTGAATTTGATGTAGCTGACAAGCTAGTGTCAAAAATTCTGCCACCGTCGGGACTTGAACATAGGATCTCCCGGTCAGAAGTGGAGGTCTTCTTCCTCACTGGATGGCGAGATTTTGCACTAACCTACCTAACCTACCTGCTAACCTTCGGTGTGCATGGATTTTTCCATCCAGGTTTCTCCCATCAGCGGGCCTCCACACCAGCCGGGATTAGCTCCATGATCCTGACTCGTCTCCCGAACATTATGCCTTCAACCTTTGGGTACTGGAGATCGAATATGGTCGATGCTTGTAGAAATTGAATTGGACAAAATTAACTCTTCATTATTTATTGCCAGTATTATCTACAGTAAATTTGCCAAGGTTTCTTCGAATTCAGCCATTAAGGGGTCATTGAAATAAATAATAAATCAATACAAATAAATACAAATAATTAATAAAAAAATACAAATAAATATTAAATATAAAATAAATTAATAGAACGAAATAAAATAACCGGTGCTTCAGTTTCATGACGGAGGAACTCTTCAAAAATATTCAAAAATAATCAATGTTTCAAAAGTTTAATATAATAAAGAAATCTCATTAAATTCAGTATATTATGCACTTTTAGAGCAAGTGACTGCAGAAGAGAGCAAGTATTAATTATCCCGGAACTAAATGATGCTCATTTGCAGAAATGAAGTTACCTTCATCAATCAAATCATCGCTTAATTGACAATTAAACAGAAACAATATTGTATGGGACGCTTCTCACATTGGCGAAACGCGATGACTATCATTAACACAAATTGGAATGAAACACATTTCATACAATGGAAGTTAATCCATTATTAATTATTTCTACTCCACTTAATTTCGCATTCATCTTCATACTTTTCACCTCCACTTCACAACTTTGTCCTCTGTTTTATCTCAAATTTTCCGAACTATATTTTACGTCCCTGGGAGACACTGTGAGGGATTATTTTTGTTCGTGGAACTACTTTATATACTAATTAGGTAATATCTAAGTATTTTATTACGAGTATTTCCAGTTACTGCAGCCTTCGGCAGACGACACGTCAATGGGACCAGCAACGCCATTAATACCTCCGCTCATTGCGGCTACTGCTGCTACTGCTTCTTCTGCTGATGCTGCTTCTCGAGGACCGGAAGCCGTTTTCCCTTTCGAGCGAGTGAAGGGTGCAGAACGGAAGAGAAGGCTGCGATGTGGAATGCCGGGGCGGAGCGGGACGAGGCGAAGTGCGGAGGGGAGGCTGGGCGGTGGAAGGCAAGGAGAGAGCGGCTGGAAAGAGGGGTAGAACCGGGGAGAGCGGGGTATACAGAAGCGGGGAGGAGCGGGGAATGACAGGGTGGAATCGGTGGAGAGAGATGGGAAGCAGCAGAAAGGGCAGGCGAGCAGTTGAGCAGGAGAGCGAGGAGAGACGAGGAGCAGCTGGGATAGTGGGGGAGCCGCGGGGAGGCAGGACGTAGGCACGAATGGGTGGAATTGGGCGAATCGGGGAAGGGAGCGAGGAGGAGCCTGATCGGTTGTTGGCATGGAGCGTGGCTAGTCAGGACTTGAAGGAGCGGGATAGACCATAAGAGGAAGCGTGTTGAGCTGGAGAAGATCAGGGCAGTGAGGAACGGGTCGGGTGGAGCGGAGAGACGCGAGAAGGGGCTGTGAGGAGTGGTGCGACAAGGAATGAGACGGGAAAAGTGGGACGCGGATGAGTGAAGAGCGGCGTGACCGAGGCAGAGGCTGGGGCAGGGAGCGGGGCATGGAGCGAAGCAGAGATAGGAGTTGGGGGCAGGGGCGGAGTGGGGTCATGACCGGGCCTGTGTGGTCGGGCAGGGGAAAGGAAGCGTGGACGTGCGTGGGACGGCGCGGGCGGGGCAGAGGGGCGAAAAGGCGGGGCGGGGAGGGAGGGGAGCGCTGGGCAGGGGCGCCGGCGCGGGCAGGGTCCGGGCCGTGACAGGAATTGAGGAAGGGCCGCGGGCGTCTGGGTGCTTTATAGTCGTGAGCGCCTGCGGCGACGATCGTCTAAGGCGTGACTGAGGCGAGATCCTGGTCCTGAAGCGAGCAGGCCTAGCCGCGCGAGGGTGAATTGACTTAATGAGACTGCAGCCCCGTAATGTCGCACTTGTTTTTCCGTCTCCCGTCGTCGTAATTTTGCGTTGTCTCTGCATAGTTGTCCTGTGCATTTGTTTTGGAGTTGGTGCGTTTAGCTCTTCATTCTGAAAGTTAGACGTTGTTCTTTATCTATGGGAAGTAATAGGCGTGGTGTTATCACTCCCAGTCTTTGTTCATAGTAACATTATACGGTTGTCAGTAATTGTTTCACAACTTACCTCATCTACTACCACTTCTTACCATGTTCTTCAGTATAATCATTTCACATTACATCTTCTTCGCAGAATTATGTAAGATAACGTAATGGCTCATCTGTGAGTGAACGGATTTGTTAAATTTGTTTTGTTAGGATTCTCGCCTGAATTATGTTATCCTTTGGCTCCAGATCTATATTAATTCAAGAATTGAAAGAAAACTACTGGGCCATTTAAACGAAAATAAACAAATAATAAATAAATAGCAAATAAACTAAATAAGTACTGCACCTCAATACTAATGAAATAATAAAGAAATCGCCAAAGAAATAAACCGATTTGAAAGAGAAGCATGTATGATCATTGTGTAGATACTTGGAAAAAATAAAAAAAACAATGAAACAATTTATTTGACGGAAAATATAAACATTTGATTGTGTTCATTTAGACCTATTTTCGTAGCTGTGTATCTGGGCTGTCCGGTGTGACGCCGCTCATGAAATGCCAGACTGAGGATAGACCACGACACGATGCTCGAAACGTCGGCAACTACAGGTCTTCGACGCCGGTTCGTCACCCGCGACGGGCCGCGAGATCACGCCCTTACTCCTGGCCGCGGAAGCCTACGACTTTCATTTATTTCGTACTGTTTCTACTCTGGCTGAATTTTATGCCAGGAATCTGTCTAGTTGCTTATGACACAGGCTGACGTTATACACAACAAGACCTACATAAAACACGGACGACCACCATTAAATAGTGTTTTTTATTCGTGTTGGCCATATGGATAAGGGGCCTTCACAGCGATAATATATGGCACTTTTAGACTGTCCTGCCGAGCCATGCGCGAGAACTAGAGTGCAAATCCGGGCCCACGAGGATTTGGGATCCGGGCATTCTAGGATTGGGGGACCCGTCAATGAGAATGCGTAAATTTCGAACCGTAGCGCCGTCATATTGTAATAGAGTATTGGAGCAATGACAGGAAGATTGACGACTATTTCAAACCAGTTCAAGTATCATTATTTTTTATTTCGAAAATGTTTGTTATCGGGAAATGTGTGACAATGTAAAGTATGTAGCTTAAGAAGTCAAATTAGCACATACGATGTTGATTTGGATACCAAGTATATGTAGGCTTATGCTTAGTAGGGGCAGAATAATGTAACTATTACTTTTGCGAACGATGTAAATGTGGCAAAATTTCAGCAATGCTACTTGAATACAAAATTGTAATAATTAGGGAATCTTTTTTATTTGCTGATGCAGTAATATATTATTTTTTCTCATTAATCTAGGTGTGTTATAATTGATTTACGATGTGTTCTATCCAGTAATAAAAAGTTATTCCTTAAAAAAATTATGATTACTTTATACTCTAATTTCCGACAGAAGTACATAAATATTTTAATTCAGCGAACACTATTTACTCATAATCCGTTACGAACATTCGTATAAAAAGATTGATCCCCATGCGTTTGTATTTTAACAAGACTCATAATAAATGCCATGTTTGCTCGTAAAATATAATACGAGGCTCCCTTTCTTCGTTGTATCTATCTTATTGGGGACAGAACTATCATAAAAGAGGGAAAAATGTACAAAATATATGGTCCTTGCCACAAACATTACCTTAATTTCGGAATTTGCCAAATTATCATTATTGATATCAATTCTTGGTGGGAGGACACTACCCTCAATATTCCTCTCCGTTTTGCTATGTATTTTGAGGAATGATAGACATTCCTCGTGAAAAATCAATTATTAAAACGCCATTTATTTATTATTTTATTATTATTATTATTCTTTTTAAAATTACATAACTCGTATTTTTAAGAGAGACCGAATGCTTGCTTAAAATATTGAGGATGACAATGAGCAACAAAGTGAATCACAACGATTAATGATAGAACAGTGTATGTAGGGTATTATAGTGCAGTAGAGATGAGTTAAAACGTAAACGGAGTGAAAGATAACGGGCGTAGTAGCTGATACGTAGAAGATAGTCCTTTAAATATATGGGGGAGTAAATGTCAACACGCGTATGAGAAAGATCATTAGGACTTGAACAGAGCGAGCATTCAAATCATGATCCCCCGCGGCCAGCGTCGACTGGCTAAGCGGCCGGGCTCGCATCCAGCCCGCGGTCCCCTTTTTCGTCCTTACTGTCGGTCCAGAGGCAAGCCTTTTCCCACATATATTGCAATTGTCCGGAGCTACTCGCGGGCAGAGAGCATGGGCTCGGTCAAGGTGGGCAGGAGCACGCCGTTGTGACAGGCTGCATATGGGACATTGTTTTTGTTGATATCTATGTATGTATACGTACTCTTGTACGGTAGGTATTTCTTTATGATTACTATGTTTATGAGCTTGTGCAAACTGGGTGAAGAGCTTTGTCAAAATCGATGTTAACTTATTTACGAGATCTTTAATGCTATCAAGAACGGTTCGTGAATTAGTTAGATAACAAACTGAACGAACTGGGCTATGAATTAATGTTTAGTTTTGGGAGAATCCGCAAAGGCCTGTCCTAAATGAGGGTGAAATAATGTATTTTTTCATCAATCATTCTGGAGGTTATTATTAAGGAATGGTGGTCTTGTTGCTAAGTCGTATAACTTATAATTTATGCCGCAACTTAACATTGGAGATATGATTTTAGAATTTAATTAGTTGCGATACCGCCATGACGTTGAAACTTATTACTTTCTTCCGTAAATATCTTAAACTTTGTTACTCAATTTAGCAAATCCATCTAACATGAATACACATGTACTGAACAATAACAGAAAAATACTTACGAACATATTTTACTCATCTTTGAAACTGTAATAACATCACGCTTATTTTACTACTTCAAACGACATACAAATCCTTCAAAAGCATACACGCGTGTTACTCAATGGACCATTTTTCCTTCAAGTTTAATATTTTGTTGTTTATTTTTGCTAAAAGTTGTCTGAAGAACCTATCTCAGATAATTAAATTCACAAAATATCAATCGAAAATTTTGCGATCCCTGGAATGTAGTCGTATGTCAGCCTTCCGCTCATGCAATACTTCATGTCCGCTTGTCTTCGCCAAGAAAATAGTCTCATTTCTCACGAATTTAAATTCACACATCCATATATCTCCTTTCATCCTTATACACTCATCATATGTAATTCATTTATTTACACAATTTAACTTTTAAAAAAAAACACATTAGTGATGAAGCGATTATCAAACACGAGCCGAACGGCGACCAAGTATCAGCTTCCACAAAGTTCGACAATGTAGGCATTACATTGATTTGGCTATTTTTTATTTAGATCTCACTGCTCGTTACAAAAAACTAAAACATCTGTCATCAGCTATTTTCGGCTGTGCATTGTTATACTATTCTGGATTTTCTCTTTTAAATAATTTACTCGCATTTAATTTAACATCACTGTCGACTCCATTTAGAGTTTCTTCGATATACGCTCAATGTTTTGATATGGCTGCCTCCTCTAACATTTTATCAGTTTTAATCTTTTTAATTTTTTAAAATTGTATAATTACATCAACAA